CAAAACCAACTGTTGAAGCGGGTACTCTGGCAAAGTTACAAAACCAACTGTGCGGGTACTCTGGACAAGTTCCAGCGGTGAGTTGGTATTCTGGCCAAGTTCCAGCGGTGAGTGGCGAGCCTAACACAGCTGTCGTCTGGCTCCGCAGAACGTCTATCAAAATGCAAAGACAGCCACGTGACGCATCCGATTGCTGGTGCAAAAACAAGTGTTCACCGCAGACAATAGGAAGCCATCGTTACCGTGACCCATGATTCAGCCGGCTGAGACCTCGTTATAATCCGCCTCACAAGGCTGAAGACTGGTTGATTCAGACCAGCATGCAGTTTGTATGGGCTGCTGCAGGCCAGAGAGACGATAGCAGGCCTCCCGGCAAAAAGATCAGGAAGGAACGGCTTAATGAATGTGGGCGATCGCAGAATGCGTTCTCTGCCGGCTGGTTTTTTGACAAGTGCCACCCTGAATGTTTGTGTAACTCCATTGAAACCGCAGAATACAAATTCAGCGATGTGATACGGACGATATCTTGATCAGGACATGACCAGCATGCGTAGACAAACAAGCGACATAAGAAAAGTGCTGTCGTTAGATGTGGCGTGTGTCCGGCAGGATGCAGAAGCTTGACGCTCCCTGTGTTTGTATAGTTTCGCCACTGGCCTAATGGGTAAGCTATGTGACAATGTCATCGCGCACTCTTTTTACGGGATTTATACCACACAGGAACCTAATCCAACACTAAAGCCAAATTTCACAAAAATTGGATGCACACTGATGAAATTTCCCGAACAGGAAAAACCCATCGTTTGTTCTCAGGCTTATCCAAATTGGTATAGTTTGTTACAGAGGCGTTTTTACCTCGTCATCACTCCATGGTCATTTCACGTTTGCGGCACTTTCCAGTTGCACTTTATAGCGCCAAATTTGCAAATTTACAGTGACGAACAGATGCCTGAAGACCAAACCAAGTATTTCTGGAGCCGAACTTAACGGCTAATGTGATGGTGTTGACGACACAAGATGCTTTTCTTCTAACTCTTATCCAAGCTTTGGTGCATTAGCGGCTTAGTACCAAATTAGGTCCCTGTCTAATAATATTAACACCAAATGGCTTATACGACCAGCTCATAGCATTACAAAGACCTGTAACGAATGATCCCACTCAGTCCAAGGAGACATTATTTTTTCGTTCGCCCGTAATGCACGCACCTTGCCTATCTTACGCCCAACACTACCTCAGAATAGAAGCTGCGAGTGTAAGGTAAAGTTGAGTTGCCTTCAATGCTGGGTCTGAATGTTTAGGTACCTGGGCCCTGTGGCAGATGTTCTTGCCCTCGTGGACATCGAGTTCACAGTTGTAGGAACAGGAGTGGGCAGGCGGCAGATTTACCCCCCCTCGCCTCTCTCCAATATTGTGGAAGCCAAGAACGCCTGGCGACAGTGCTGCAAAATTTTCAGTAGCTGTCAATTAATGTGTTTAACACCCTGTGCCAAAACAACGACTACGAAACCATGATAGATTAAGCGTAAGTGACGTCAGAGTGACGTCATGTTTGCCGATTTTTCACAAAAGCGCATAGTCAAAGACAAATTGACATCCAAGCCGAAAAAGCAACATATTTTACATCTGTAAACGGGAAATGTGAGCCAACTCGTCAACCATTCGTATGTCTTGTCGTTTGGTTGTTTCGATGTTGCACATTACAGCACTGGCATGGAAAGTATCAAGAATATTGGCGAAAAGTACACTCGACATTTTTCGTTGCATCAGACTTGAAATTTGCCGACATGAAAAAGGTGTCCTAGATTCTACTATGTCATGTCACGTATGGAACTTGGTACAGGCATATGAACGATGCCTGTACCAAGTTTCAGCAATAATCTGAAATCACGACTGAGGTATGGCTTGACATGCATCACGGCACATAATGCCTCTGCCCGGGTTGGCCCGGGCCGCGGCGACGGGCGGCGGGGCTCAGGTCCGCCGCAGCAGCGCGGTGACGGGGCGGCGAAAGTCGTTTATCAGTTTCACACGCAACCCAACAACCACGTGACTGACAGCGGTGTTGAAGGCCAGCAGGTTGCACTGCCGGCAAGACTATACAATCGAAAACCGCTTATTCACCACCGAGGTCGTCAATTTGACCTTGGCCTTAGACGGTTTATGAACAAGTAACCGTTCTTACATACGTGTCTGATGCAGAACAGCGACCAAGCCCTCCCATTTCGCATGTGGATGGTTCAAATATGACGAAAATTAATAGGCCGAAGCATGCATACATTCCAAGGTTTCATCTCTCATTTGCACAGAACGTGACCTTGGCACTCGGCCAGGCACGGCGCGTGTTAAATTGAATACTTTGCTATGTAGCGTGTTTGATTAGAGCGCAATGATCTCACACCATGATATACGCTTTAAATGAAATGCTCTGTGGGACCTGCCACATGCTCCAAAGTGACATGTTTCAGAATTTGACCTTGACCTGTGACCTTGATACACACTTAAACTTAAGTTTGTTGTGTGGTCTGGGACCACACTACTGCGCTATTAATTGCGATTAAAATTTTCGAATTCAGCCCAGCCGTTCTTGAGATGAGTAGGGGATCAAATCTACCCCCGCCGATGAATGGCGTGCCACTGAGGAGCCCGGCCAATGCCGGGTTAAATAAACGCATTAAATATGCTCTTCTTAAGTGTTTAAGCGCGCGTAGGACGTGCGCAGCCGACCCCAGGCTATGAACCGTGCACCTGCCTACATCCCACTTGCAATGAATGCGTCGTACTTTTGAACAGCTATCACTGCTGTACACAGCTCATGTTTTATTTTTCCAACTCCAGTCTGGTCACCCTGGACGTGCTTTTTAGAGAAGAGGAGCGCAATAAATTCCGCTCGCCTGCCTTAATGCCAAGCACGGAATTTTGTATGTGTCACATTTTAGAGACTGGTGATGCTTATTTATTCAGCTTAATCATATGCTTAAACATTCCAGATAAGTTGGGCAGACATTTGACGTTACATATGAATTACATTGCGACGAGCAATCCATGCTGGACAAACCGTCTTAGGCACTGCGACGAGACAAAAAACCGTCTTTGACCCCAATTTCAGTACCCCTTGATACCTATCACGTCATACGTGTTTTGATGTCACCTGCTTTTGCCATGCGTGCCGCACACGTAAAATCATGCCGTGTAAGCAGACCATAGCAGGAATCCTGCAGTGACGTATTGACCGGGCCTTTCCCGGAGTGCTGCTAGCCGACCTTGGTGGGGTGACACGAGTTGCCGGGTGGTTGCCGCTGAGCCCGTCCGCGGTGCTCACGGCGATCTCGTGACTGAACGTGACTACCCGGCGGCTGGTGATCGGCACCAGCGGCCGAGCACACCAATGCATCATACAGCGGGTCCGGCCGACCGAGGCCCACAGCACTGCACAGGCCTCCGCTCGGCGGAGATGATCAACACCCTTTGCCACAAGAAATGTACTGGTGGAGATGCGGTTGTGCCATCTCACTACCTATGTAAGGAATATTCATGTGCGGTAAAGTTAATGCTGAAGCTGGACAGGACTCTCTTGCAGCCCATCGTAAGCTGCTGATTTCACAACGGAAAGCCTCACAGTCATAATCAGACGGATTCCCTTGGTATCTTTCTGTGTGCTTATTTGCACGCAACACGCATAACCTTGAAAATTATTAGGGCTGTGTCAGCGTGCAAAAAAAGGAAGTAAGATCCCGAAGACATAATGCGCAAATTTCCATTGAGTGACTTGAGAATGATTCCACTAATTTGGGAGCATTTTTTTGGAGGCGTTTGGTGGCCAAAACAGTTTAAGGTACAAATGTGTTTTACACGAATACACTTCCTATCTTTCCTACATTTTAACTTCCGACTCAAAACGAATTGCCTGTTACTCGCTAAAATATCCGTTTTAAGTTGACCAGCATGCACTCAGCGTGGAAAGGTACTTGTGTTTGTTATTCCATCGACTTGATACAATATAAGAAAGACACAAGCGTTAATTTGTGCTACTTCTAATCATCATGGTACTATTTATGTGTCACAAGGTACTGGCATAGAACTGCACCACACCACTTCCCATACTACACCGTGCCACCTCCTCGGCGGTCCGCGGCCGCCCTGGACCCACTGCCGGAGGTGGGTGCCGGCTCTGGGCCTTTTGACGTCACCATGACTCACCGCCGGCGGCAGGCCCGCCGGTAAGGGCAGGAGGGGACGGCGCGGACCACCGGCCGCCGCCGAGGGTGCGCGCCGCCGTCATCAGGGGCTCTCAAACCGCCGGCGTCGTGCCACAACATGTCTAGCTGGTGTTCGCGCCTGGACATGAGTCTGATAACGCGGACTGGGCCTGATGCGTGAGTGAGCCACACCAAATTTGAGTACATCTCTTAGTTTGAATCCTTGACGTCACATGTTGAGATAAAAAATCGCACTTAAATCCAAGTCTGGAAATAAAGGTCAGGGTGCTGGAACTTCACGAGGCATTGCCTTATAACAAGCGAGATTGCAATTACGCCATCACAAACGAGACCAGGGTCGCGAGATAAAACGCCCTCGATGCGGTCTGACAAACTAAATCCTAATGACAATCAACAACCGCGAAGCGCATTGTTTCGTGGGATACGGTTGCTTTCTCCTTGCATTCCGCGGGTTTCCTGGGCTCTTCACGGCTCGAAGAATATGTGGGGGGGGGGGGGGCGGTAAAACTCAGTTCGATCCTGCATCGAGACAGTCCAGTCCCACCGAACCGATACATCTCGGCAGGTCTCATTGGCCGCCCACGGAGGCACCGGTTTGAGCGCCTCCAACGGCGCCCACCTGAGCTCGAATGGCCGTCAGGTGTGCGGCGGGCAGCGACCAATCGTGACCGCTGTCTCAGAACGGCAGCCAACCAGCGCACTCGTAATAGCACGCCCGGGCCGTTCGGAGAAAGGTGGACTGCGGGTGTGTTGGATAGCGGCTTCAGTTGCGCGTCCCGAGTAGCCGGTGGGGGGGAGTGTCGGGTTTCCAGTGTTTCGGTGCAGTTCGAGTCCTCGGTGACCATGCAGTGTAGCCAGGATGCAGTCGGGGACGGTCCGCGGCGATAGCAAGCCGACGCTTTCCCCGGTGTGCGCCGGCCGGGTGCACCAGGCACAACAGAGCACCAGGAGTCCCATAGGTAAGCTGCTGGTGCCGCTCCGCCGGCCACCTACCGAATTTGTCACGCTGGCGGGACCGGAGTCTGCCCGGCGTGCCTGTGGAGTGGCAGGAAAAACGGCCCGGCCGACCGTGCGGGCTGAACCCAACCGGAGCGGCAGCGAATGGGGTCAGCGGCCGGGGCCGCCGGCTACAGCCCACACATTCCAGTCAGGCTAGACCGCGTGGCGAAGCTCGCCGCGAGACGCTGCGGAGCCTCCGCAGCGCTGCTAAGACGGTGTGCGCCGTGTCAATGCACCGCGTCGTCTCCCACAGCGCCCCTGAGGCGCGTGGTGCGAGATCACGGCAGAATCGTGAGCAGTATTCGCGATGGCAGATGCCCAGCGTAACGCTCCGTCAAATGGTGTTTAGGTCGTGTTTAGCCCGGATAAGAGTCGGCTAAGGTGGCTTAGGGTGATGCGTCTACTCACCTGTCGTGCTACTTCACTGGCGTTTCTGCTACGCCACCCAGGCGGCGTCTGACAGGGGGGAGACTGCATGTGTGAGGCACCCGCACAAGCGCCTAGCCTCGGATAGCTCACCTGAGGAGCCTCGATAATGAAATATATGGCTGGTGTGTGCAGATTATGTGTTGTAGCGGTTATGTAATTGCAGCAATAGAAAAATCCGTGTCTGTTAAACATACACACCGCAAAGAAGTTATAGAGCATACCGCATAGAGAGCAGCTAATACGCCGTCCAAGGTGTGTCCGGCTCCCACTTTCCACGATCCTGGAAGAGGCGCGACCGAACTGGTCATCGCTGAAGTCAACGGACTGGCCTGATCAATGAAGCATCTTCGTTTGTTTACACCACCTCGGGCATGAGCGGACTCTCCTACGTGTACACAGTGTACCGCTACCTACCTGGAGTAGCTGACCCATCGCAATGGGTCATATACGGTTAGATGTAGCTAATGCATTGGGTACCTGTCGGAAGCTGTAACCATTGTTCATGCCTTGTGATGATTGTGCCTCTTGGTCATTTATGTCAAGACTATGATCTGGGTTTTGTTCTTAACTCTGTTAAGGTAATTGTCCTAGACTTGAACAAAATAGTTAAGCCTGAAGTTAACGCTCAGTGACCCTTATTTTCGGTGTCTCTGCCCAATAAAGCTGTCCGTATGGGATTCCAATGCGTAATGAGGATCCATATGTCATTGTTATTGGGCCAATGGTTTTATTGAAAGGTACATAGTTGGTAAAGTGTAATTAGTTATCGATCACTTCTTGACATGTCCTTTAGTGGCCGGGATGTTCTTTCTGTTCGTTAATCCCTTTTGTGTTTATTGAGAAGAAGCAGCCTCAGACATCATTACTTACGATAAAGCTGGCCCTAACGAAACAAAATGACATGCGAGTTTTACGGTTGCACAGAAGTGATAGGCTGAGCACATGGTGATTGTGCATCACTTGTGCATTGCAGGGTTCAATAAAGAACCTCTGTTCGTAATCGTAGTGAAAATTGCCAGATCTCCAGTGTTCCAAACCATAATATTGCCTCCGTGGCTTGAAAGAAAAATGCTAGGGTCAGAGTTTGGGGGCGATTGATGTGCAACTTCTGGAGGGCACCCACTGTGTGGTGCGTCATGTATAGAGTTGTGTCGGCTGTCACATATTGTCAGTTGGCAGCTGGCCAAAGACAATCAGTCCGACATGGTCAACAAAATTTGGGTGGCTGCTTCATGGAAAATACGCGGAATATCGTAGCAAATGTGGAATTGGTTCAATGTTTAGCTGTATCGCTATTGGTTCAAATTAACCACGCCATGACATAGTGGCTAGTTGACTGGTGAGTGCCTTAAATTTAAGCAGGTGTGTAAATAAGATTGCCTTGCATTTTCTGGCATGATCGAAAAGGAAGAGATTGAGAGGATTGCTAACAAAGCTCTGCGCGTTTTTTGAAGGTCCAACACTAATCTTAGGTAGATATACGGCGATAATTTATATAAAAATATGTAACTCCTGCTAGGCTTTCCTCATTTCGTGCGATCCTGTTTTGATAACTCCCTTGGGATGGCCTCAGTACCCGTTTTACAGCTACACCAGCATGGCTGTAGCACCCAACTTTATGCTTGGCCATGCTTGGCCATCTGTTCACTTCACTCTGGATTTTAAAGCTGCACTTTCGATCAACAAAGGGGCAGCACAGATACACACGATGCGTTTCGGATGCTTCCAACCATTGCCTGTTATAGAGTATTCTATTGAGTGACAGCCGTACCAACTTTTAAACAACGTAGATAAGAACATCTGTTCGTTGCACTTTGATTTTGATGGATCCACTTTCGTACAAAAGAACGACAACACGGATCAGCCTGATAGGCATGGATGCCGCCAGCTTGTTACTAGCTGCGTCTTTGAATCCGGCCGCGCACCGTTGCATTTGTCCCAATTGTGCACGAGTCCGCAGCGGAAGAATGACTACCTTGTGACGATCAGGCCGTCTGCGCGGACATTCGGCTGTTTTTTCCTGCGGAGCACGCAACATCGTAGCTCCGGGAAGAGCCGCCGTCGCGCCGTCGTCAGAGGCGCCCGCCCTTGTCACGGACGGCGGCGACCCTCTGCCTGGCTCTCCGGCGTCGTCTTCTAACCATTGCCCCCCATTGCCCGCCCCCCCCCCCACATCCCGCGACGTAGACCCGGGCGACATCGCTGCGTAGTGCCCGGCGGCCGGTAACGAGAGCGACGCACGGGGCGCAGGCCGGGCGCCTTGAGCGGCGGCCGCCAATGTGCAGGGGTCGGAGGTCATGCTGACCTGGAGCGGGGATGTTAGCCGATGGACGCGGCGGAGCCACGCCGCCGGCCAGTCGCACTAACTCAGAGCGTTGCCTTGGAGCTGACGACCAGCCGCGGCGGCCCTGGCCTGGGCAGACCTGGGCAGAGGGCCACCATAACCGCGCTCACCGCGCTTTTCCGCACGGTTAACGATGATCACGCTGCTGTAGTACGATCGGCGTAATCTACGACAATATCACTCTTTCGAATGATCAAAAGTAACGGCAGTCAACGCGCGTCTACATTGCGGTCAGGCCAGTGATTACGGAGTCTTCAATGCCAGCCGGCTGAGCGCTATGGTACGGGAGTCAGTGGGAACAGGGAGTGTCGAATGGGGTGATCAGTTCGTTCAAGCTGCTGTGGCCAAGGCTGCTGGCTGCTTGCCCCGCCATGGTAGTGTGACCCTCGCGCCTCTAGGGGTAACAGCCTGCTGCGACAGCGCAGTGGCTGGGGAAGTTTGCTGTGGCCCCGCCCGCACCTCCCCGGTGACTTCGTTCACCAACGCTGTCACCGCCCGGCTATGTCTCCATGTTGCAACACCAAGTCTTCTCGTGCTGCCGACCCTGTTAACCGTCGTGCTTGTCATCCGCCTAAACCGCCTAACGGCGGTTCGTTGCGTTGCGTAACGCCACTTCAGCTATGTCAAGCAACATTGTCTGTCGGAGATGACCTATAGATGTTGTGTTTATGGGCTGTTGCCGACGCTAAGCATTCGGAAGCGCAATAAGTCATAAAGCACAAGCATGCAAACACATTTCTGATGATGCTTGGTCGGACACAGAGCCGCGTCAATAGGTCCCGAGTAAGCTGTTCTGCAAAATTGTACTTCCGGATCAGACCGGCACAAACCTAGCCTACGCCACCCCATTCGAATGCACCCTGGCATGTATGTTAATGCCGCTATTCGTTTTGAATATCATTGGCAGCCAACAATCGAGTTTGCTTACAAATATGCGAGATGTTTTGATGCCATTGTTCAACGTTGTCATTTTAATTAGTATTTAATTAATATTCGTGTCATTTTTTCTGTTGAAAGCGCCACTGCAAATGTGGGAAATATATGAAAGCATGTTGTATCACTTTCCTCTCCTAGACAACAGTCTCGTTGTGTGATCAACGCTGCCTATCAATGCCTGTTGGGGCTGACTAGAGTACGCACAGGTACGCACTGGTGTATGCATCGACGCATTCTGTGTCATTGTAATAACCGGTCGTGTGTTTCATTTGGACCTCAGTGCCGCTGCTGAAGTCATATTTTCCGGTATTTGTTAACCAACACAAAAGACACGGTTGTGACTGAAACGATACACCTAGGGAAGGGTGTTCCTCTCGAGAAAGCGGTGTAACCCGCGACAGCACATGTGGCCCAGGAAACCTCCATTTGAATAGCTATTAACACAAATCGGCAAGCGCGTCTTTCCTACTTCAGGTCAATGCTGGAAAACCAGCGAGCATCAAAAGCGTACCGGCTGCGTGGTGTGTGGCAGCATATGGCTGCCTTTCCGAGCAGTTTCCCATTACGGGACGACAGCGGGCGAGGCTGCGTTCACGATATACCATTAGACGGGAGCGAAAGGACACGTGGACAGACAGAGTGGAGTCACAGGAGGTGGACACGTGTCCGACAGAGCAGGTCCACCGAAGGTGGACACGTCTCTGACAGAGCAGTGACCGGAGATGGACACGTGTCTGACAGAGCGGGGCCACCGAAGGTGGACACGTCTCTGACAGAGCGGTGACCGGAGGTGGACACGTGTCTGGCAGAGCGGGGCACCGGAGGTGGACACGTGTCGGGCAGAGCGGGGTCACCGGAGGTGGGCACGTCTCTGACAGAGCAATGACCGGAGATGGACACGTGTCTGGTAGAGCGGGGTCACCGGAGGTGGACACATCTCTGACAGAGCAATGACCGGAGATGGACGCGTGTCTGACAGAGCGGGGCCACCGGAGGTGGACACGTCTCTGACAGAGCAGTGACCGGGGGCGGACACGTCTCTGACAGAGCGATGACACCGAAGATGGACACGTGTTTGACAGAGCGGTACCACCGGAGATGGACACGTGTCTGGCAGAGCGGGGCCGCCGGAGGTGGACACGTCTCTGACAGAGCAGTGACCGGAGATGGACACGTGTCTGACAGAGCAGTCACCGGAGGTGGACGTATGTCTGGCAGAGCGGGGCCACCGGAGGTGGACACGTCTCTGAC